ATATGTATTATCTTATTTATTTTTAGTATAGTATATTTATATTCTTGTATCACCTTATTAGTATTTGTATAACAGAGATAAAATACCTCAGATATGTAACATTACGCGATACAAGGTGAAATACCTCTGGTAGCTACTGGTAAAATACCTAGGTAAATTACTTCCAATATTAATAATCATGCTGGAATGTTTCAGAAACTTCCAGAATTTTCTTGAAGTTAATAATTATAGTTCACGATACGGTTCAAATTTCATATAAATAGAAGTTGTTTCTGCTTCTCTTGAAAAAACAGTTGACATATAATTGAATATTCTAAAAACTCGAATAAAGCATTGTTTATAAACTGATATCTTTCTTGGTGAATTATATAGTTTATATTGTGATTTTCTTAGTGAAAATCTTCTTGTTATTTTCCTTGCTTTGTGATCTTGGCAATTCTGTTATTATTACTCTCTTCTTGGTAATAAGAGTAATTGTTAGTTATAATATCCTGCTTCGTGATCTCAGTATTATAGTTACTTAATAATTAACCCTGCTTTGTGATCTAGGTTAAGTTATTAAGTTCTTTGTGAATTTGTTGAGTTTCTTGATGAAACTTTGTTGTTTTTGTGACTTAACTAGTAAATCTCTTATAAAACCTCACACCTTAGCCTCTTTTGATCAAATTCGCCTTACCCAAATCCTTCTTATCATTACTTTATTTATAGTAATACCCGTTCAGCTGTAGTTAATTGTTATAATGTTTAATGTCTATAAATACAATTCTCACTATCAGTCACTTAGTTTTCTTTGGTTTTTTTAGAAAGTAAACTAAAGTTAATACTGTACAATTTCTAAACTTTTTTTTAAAAAAAAAAATCTATAGGACGATAATTTTGAGGTTTCACAATTATTTCATATCCTATTGAAATGCTAATTTTGACTGAAGTTACACTAAATTTCATCCTCCATAATAATTTTGATCCTATAAATATTTTCATTTTTTATAATAATTTTGAGGTTAATTTTGAATTTTGGAATTTAATTTCAGGATCAGGTCTTAAATTTTTAATTTGAGGCATATATAATTGAGAAATTTTATATAATAATTAATATTTATAATATATTATTATATATACAAAAATATTCAATAATACTACTTTTCATTTTTAAATTTTATGTAATTACATATCCTAAGAATTCATAATAATTAGAATTTAATATTATGATATATTTTAAAAGAAAGAAATGGAGGAGAAATTGATATCTAATGAAAGATAATACCAGTAATTTAATATATATCAAATAATAAATAAAATATAATAAAATATTTAGAAAATATTTGAAATATTATTAAAATTTGAAAAAATAAAATGGTTAAAAAATATATATAAAGAATTGAAATTCTTTTAACTTTATCATAAAAATTTTAAAAATATTTGTAAATAAATAAATATTAAAATAAATTTTTATTAAAAAATTTCAAAATGTTACAAAAATTTTAATTAGCTTTTATCAAAAAAAAAAAAATAAATAAAGGAAGAATTTTTGATCTTTTATTTAAAAAAGTAAAAAAAAAAAATGAGATATTGGCAACAGCATCTACTCTAGCAGTAGCAAAAGTATCAATATTATTTATAAGAGAAAGGGAAAAAAGTAAAATAAAGGATGTATTAATAAGACTAATTGATAAAGAATCATGGGCATTATTATTAACTTATATAACTAAAAAAAAGAAGAACTGAAGAAAAAAAGGAAGAATAATATTTCAATGATAATTTTCAAAAAATTTCAAAAAATTTTAATAAAAATATTTACAATATATAATTTATTTTATTAGAAGAAAAACCTCTGTTAATAAGAAAAAAAAAACAAAATTATGTATTAGATTATTTAAAAAAAATTAACAAGAAAGTTGAAGACCTTCGAAAGAAAATTTTAAATATCCAAAAAATAATGGAGAGTAACAGAATAATAAAAGAAAGTGATGATATGTATAATCCAACATTTATTAAAATAAATATTTTATTTTATTAATTTATTTTTATAAAAAAATTATTTCATTCATAATATTTTGAAAAAAGAAAAATTATTGAAGAAATTATAAGCAAATCAATCAAAAATATATATCCAAATAATAATACTCTTAAAGTAACTGCAATAAGTTACTTAATAAAAAAATATTTAGAGCTTTTTAAAAGTTGAAAAAATAATCACTGGATATTTATTATGATTTAATTCTTAAAGGAAGAGTAAGTTTTACTAAATATATTATAATCTAGATTATACTTGCACGCAAAATTATTTTGAGGTTCCGAAATTACAATTTTGGAGAAAAAAGTCGAAATAGAATTTCATAGAAGACGAAATTATTTTACTTAAAACCTGAAATTTTTTGACTACCCAGATTTATTCTTTGATTAAAGATACATATAACTAGGTACTTTTTTTACTTCCATATATAGAATAGATTTTGCATAAATCTCAAAAAGTCAAAATACCTCAAAAATCCAAAATCAATTTTGGGAACATATATAATCTAGATATTTCAACAATTAATAAAAGATTTTAAATTATTTTAAAGTTAAAAAAAAGTATTGATTTAGAAGAGGGACATTATTTATTCAAATTAAATATTTTATATTTTTTGTATTTAGGAGTCTCCCGAAAATAAATATGAAAGTAACTTCAAGTAAGATAAAAGCTTGGAAAGAGTTGTCTATTGTTAAAGAATGTTACAAAAAGTTATATTCAAAAATAATAAACGATGAAGATGAAACCTAGTGTGAAAAAATAATTAATGAAGTGTAGGAAAACACCTCAAAAGTTTCTAATAAATAAATAGCTTTCGTTATAACATTATATAAAAATTTTTTAAACCTCAATAATGAAGATATTAAAAATAATGATAAATATTTATATAAAAGATTGAAAAGAAATTTAGTAAGTATTAAAAATATTCAGATTTAATTTTTTAAAATATTAAAAAAAAATTTATATTGATAAAAAAAAATGGAAAATGATGAAAAATTTGATTTGAGAGAGTTAGATTCTAATAAAAACGAGTTAAAAAGTGACTTAACTATATCAAATGTGAATAAAAAAAAAATAAAAAAAATAGAAGAAGTAATAAGAAGAAAAACAAGAATGAGAGATATAGAAGAAGCAAGAAGAGAAATAAGAACAAGAGAAATAAAAAAAAAAGTTAATAAATAAATTTATTAATTTTTATATATTATATATTATTATATATTATGAATATTATAATAAATGTGTATACAGAATATAAAAAATTTTTTAAAAAATTTGATTTATACATCAGAAAATTTAATTAGACATAAATTTACAAAAATATCACATGACCTATAGAAATTTACGTTTAATTAAATTTTCTGATATATATATTTATTATATTATTATATTTTTTAATATATATTTTTTATATAATAAAGATTTGATGAAATATTGTGAAACACTGATCAAAAATTGATAAATTATACACATATCAGGTATCCGATATGTGCATGGTGTGTTCTTAATATCGGGTGTATATCGGGTATCTGATAGGTGTAGATAAAGGGTGTTGCTAAACCTTAGAGTTTAGGAAAAAGTCAAAACCGAAATTGTCCTAAAGGGGGTTTAGCCCTTTATATAATTTACCCAAATTCTGAAATTCCTAAATCTTATCCAAACCTCCGAAACTATCCTAAACCTCCTAAATTATCCTAAACCTCTTGCATCACCTCAGATTAAATTAGTGTAACAGAAAAAAATTTTTTTTTTTTAAAAAAAATTTAATAATCAGTTTTTTTTTTAAAAAAAAAACTTGACTTTCCTTAATAATAAACTTACCTTTCTTCTTCTCACCTCGAAAATAAGTTTAAGAGTTTGTGGGAAGGCGGAAATTGAATGCGCAGAAATTGGGTGCATAGACGTATATATGAAGGTAAGTTTTTTATTTTTATTTTTTTTATTCTTAAATAAAAATAAAAAAAAGAATACTTACCCTTATTACCTTTCTTCTTCTCCTTTTCACTTTGGAAATAAGTTTAAAGATTCGTGGGGACACCTGTGAAGGTGAAAATTAGGTTCATAGACTCGCGCGGATATATTATATAAAGGTAAGTTTTTTTATTATTTTTTATCTTTTTATTTTTAAATAAAAATAAAAAAATACTTACCTTTTTCTTCTCTTATTACCTTTCTCCTCCTTTATCTAGAATTGAACTCGTGGATATACTTGTGAAGGTGGAAATCAGGATCATGGGCTTCACGCGGGTGTATATACGAAAGTAAGTTTTTTATTTATTTTTTATCTTTTATTTTTAAATAAAAATAAAAAAAAATACTTACCTTTTCTTCCCTTATTACCTTTCTCCTCTTTCTTACCTCGGAAATAAGTTAAGGGTCTGTGGAGATACTTGTGAAGGTGGAAATCGAGTTCATGGGCTTCGCGCGAGTGTATAATACGAAAGTAAGTTTTTTTTATTTTATCTTTTATTTTTAAATAAAAATAAAAAAAAAGATACTTACCTTTTCTTCCTTTATTACCTTTTTCCTCCTTCTCACCTCGAAAATAAGTTTAAGAATCTGTGGGACACTTGTGAAGGTGAAAATCGGGTTCGTAAGCTCGCGCGGACGTATTATATAAAGGTAAGTTTCTTATTTTTATTTTTTTTTAGTTTTAATAAAATAAAAAAAGATACATACCTTTTCTTTTCTTATTACCTTTCTCCTCCTTCTCACCTCGGAAATAAGTTTAAGGATCTGTGGGAACACTTGTAAAAGTAGAAATCAGGTTCGTAAGCTCGCGCAGATGTATTATATAAAGGTAAGTTTCTTATTTTTATTTTTTTTTATTTTTAATAAATAAAAAAAAGATACTTACCTTTTCTTTCCTTATTACCTTTCTCCTCCTTCTCACCTCGGAAATAAGTTTAAGGATTTGTAAGACACTTGTGAAGGTGAAAATTAGGTTTGTAAGCTCGCGCAGACATATTATATAAAGATAAGTTTCTTATTTTTATTTTTTTATTTTATTTTTAATAAATTAAAAAAAATATTTACCTTTTTCTTTTCTTATTACTGTTCTTCTTGCCTTGAAAATATATTCAAGGGTTTATGGAGACACTTGTGAAGGCAGAAATTGAGTTCGTAGATTCGTATGGATATATTATACAAAGGTAAGTTTTTTTTATTATTTATTTATTTTTATTTTTTTATTTTTAAATAAAAATAAAAAAATATATTTACCTTGTTCTTTCCTTATTACCTTTCTCCTTCTTTCTCTAAAATTGAGCTCGCGAGACACTTGTGAAGGTAGAAATCGGATTTGAAAGTTTACACAACGTTTTTTTTTATTTTATTTTATTTTTTTTTTAAAATAAAAATGAAAAAATATACTTACTTTTTTCTTCTCTTATTACCTTCCTCTATAATTAAGCTTGTGAGGACACTTGTAAAGGTGAAAATCGGGTTTTTGATTTTATTTTTTTAATTATAAAAATATATTTATCTTGTTTTTCTCTATTACTTTTCTTCTTCTTTCTCTGGAATTAAGTTTGTGAAGGTGAAAATTGGGTTTGTAAACTTATGTGAATATAGTAATAAGTATACGTGTTGCCCAAATCCCAAATCATTTGGGATTTGGGATGCCAAAATCTCAAATTACTAGTATTTAGGATTTGGGATTTGGAATTTCGGCAAAAAATACTAATCATAATTTGGAATTTGGGATTTGGGATTTCGGCATTTGGGATTTTGGCATTTGGATTTTGAATTTGGGTGGCAGGTATAGTTATACCAAAATTCTAACTCATTTGAAGATACCAGACAATGCTTATTTAAACTCTGGTTGCAAAATAATGAATTTTCAACATTAGACAAACTCCATCAACACTGTTCACAAATTTATACCACAAATAAATACCCATTCTGTAATCAAGAAAAAGAAACAAACATATATATGTTTACATGCTCAACATTAAAGGAACCATATATCATTAACACTATACTTAAAGAAACTATACAATTGACGGCAAAACAAGTAAAAGCAAAAGAAAAAAAGAACACTAAACACATGACACTTGACTCGATAAAACAAACCTTGAGTCAAGAACTGGCCTTTTTGATAGAAACAAATACCATACTAAACGAATCAACTGAATTATATTTTCTAGACACAATAAAAGGATACATATCTAAATCATTAATAAAGAAAATAAAATTGATTACAAAGTCTAAAACATCAGCAAAAACAATTAACACTAATATACAAATATTCATTCAAACTAAACTAGAACAAACTTGACATCACCGAATTCAAAAGATTCTAGAATGGGAAGAAAATCAAAACATAACAAGAAAACAAAAAAGAGATACAACTATCAGAACTTCTAAAAAACCAAACAGAAATAAAACAAAAGACAATAAAAATAATAAACATAAATCATATAAACAATTATACAATTTATCTCTCAAACATACAGTAACTTCATATAACTTATTAACTATGCACAGTACATTCTTTTTTACAAACACTATTATAATTATATTAACTGATGGAGTTTTGACCATCAATTTCCACTTTGTGAATGTGAATAGGTCAACTCGTCATCTAGATTAAATTAGTAATAATTTAGTTTAGAGTAAGTAGTTAGAATACAACATGTAAATTAAATATTTGTTTTATTTAATAAAGTGTCTAACAAGACTCCGATGGTTAAAAAAAAAAATTAATATAATA